ATTAGGTTTATTAAAATTTAATGAAAGAGTAAAAAAAAAAAAAGGGGGTATTATTGCAACCGTCACCTCAAATTAAATACTAGTTATTTCACTTCCACCGGATCAATTATTTTCAAGAAAACGAGTATAATTATGATTAGAAAAAAAATGTTTTAAAGTTTGCATTATATTGGACTATAAATATTAATTATTAAATGATGAGGGATTCTAACTATGAGTGCATATTTTTTTATTTAATAATCAGTGTTTTACAATTTAATACAATTTAAATTACAAAATATCAAATTAATTCTTATAATTAAGCATGGAATAATTATTTATTATTTGTCAAACGTACATTAAGTACAACTGGCCACAAAGTCATGCATGCAACAGTGTAATATTTTTGGAATGTTTATATGGTTTCAACTTTGTCTTCCCTTTATTGTATGTGGCAGTGAATGTATGAACTCATGTTGTGATGTTGATGAGACTTATTAATGTGATATATAGGGATAGTATTATTTCCACAGAAATTGAAGGAAGTAGTAAGGAAAACTCATTTAGTCCAAGTGAAGGTGTAGGGTCAAAGAATTTAGAATTATTGATTCGCGTACCTTGCGTTGCAGAGGAGCCATTTAGGATGTTGGATCTTAAATCCAACACTTCTAAGTTTTCAAAAACTGATGAAAACCCTGCATGTAAACATTTTTACCTTATTGGCAAAAGAGGCAAAAATCAAATTCTAAAGAGCTTGTATTGTTTGGGGAGTTCTCAATCTGACTCAATCTAGCTAGTATGCCAATTAAAGGGAAAAATTACATAACAAGCGTACCTTTGTTCTGTATCCTAGAAATCACATTGAAGGATAAATTCAGACGCCTTAGCTCCTTAAACGGTTGAAACAAGGAGAGGTTTAATTGCCAACTGTTTTTGGGTTCATATGAGCTATATAAGGGGTCATATGAGCTATCTGAGGGTACATCAAACTGCCTAGTATTGCTGAGGGAGAGCTTGATCACATGGCCTGTGGTGGAGTCGCAACCGACCCTCTCCCATTGACAACAACTCTTATGCTCAGGGTCATTAACCCATGAAGGAAGAAGTTGGTCTGCATCGTAGCCATCTGATTTGACAAAGTCCTTGAATTCCAGAAGAGCCGCCTTCTCCTCTTCAAAGCAGCACCTGTTTCCATGGATGAAAACCAAATGGATTAGACCCAACAATAAAAACTTAGTTGCCAGAACAGAATCCATCTAGGAATGAAGAAGAATCTGCTGATGGCAATATTTTTTGCACATGGCTGGCGCTGCTTCTGGCTTTTATATTGTAATTATTCCTAGGACCAATTACCCCAACATAGCTAAGAAAGGACCCACGAACCTGGAATTTTTTATTTTGGTTGTTAAGTATTGTTAGGAGGATTCACATGTCAATTTCACTAAAAAAAATCCTCACTTGCATCCCCTTTTTAAACATTTTTCAGGACAAACTGTTATAATAGATGGTGTCACAGATACAATTTTAGTGCAATTTTAGTATAAACCATCGTAACAAAATGTCATCAAAAGTAATTTTTTTTTTAGTGATTGAATGTACTTTTAAATTGTTTTAAAAGATATTAATTACAATTACATAAAAATTAATTTAGAAACACCTTAGTCATTTAAAAAAAAAAAAAAA